TGATAAAGCAAACCTAGTAAATACCAATGTAGAATCTGGGGAGTCCATATTTGGATGTTCATTACACAGTTCTTTCAACTTTTTAAAACTGTTTGGGGGAAAACAAAAACCAAATAGGGAGCATTTTACATACATACCTTGGCTGACACCAAAGTCAGTCAACTCAGTAAGATATTCTTAGACCATTTATATACACGTCATTTTGATCTGTGCCAGCTATGTTTATTTGCACTGAGTGGTCCACGCGTCTATGCAGCGTAGGTATTTGGAATCAGCCCACAGGGGGCTCAGAGGCTGCTGATATGCTCTTCCTTCTCACAGTGAACTCAAACTATCATTTGGAGGTTCGTTTTTCTTCAGTGTAATGGAGGCCTCCATCATAAATGAATGGCCTGAAACTTCCTGACGTCTTTCCCACATTTTCTACTGGGACTTGGATGACCATTAGATAGCTAGCACCTGTATAAAAAGAGCTGGGACCTGGTCCTCCCTCCAAAAATGCAGGGTTTGGTGATGGGGATAAACCCTCAGACCTGTTCCTCCCTCCAAAAGGACCTTAGGAGGCTCACTGACCCTCTCTCGAGAAAATGATGCTGGACGTGCCTCTTGCTGTGTGGTGGGCTGGGCTACATAGGACTGTATTTATAACATACACAAAAATGTAATATATTTGATTCTCCTTTAATTCTCAGTTAGCACACCCTGTTTCCTCTTTTTATAAATGAGGAAATGGAGGATTGAGGCCAAAATGAACTCCTCTAAAGCACGCAGCTTGAATTAAACCCCATTTAAACCTAGAATTCTGATCTTCGCCCCTCACCACAACTGCCCTGAAAACACCTCTCATCCCTGGCAAGAAGCAGCCAATTTTACAGATCCATGTCTAAGACAAGACAAGATGAGGAGTATTGAAGCAGTGGCTTTCCAATTACAAGCTGAAAAAAAGTTAGGGGGTGCTAACTAGCAATTTTTAAAAACCAGAATTAGAAAGTAATTAGAAATTAGAAAGTAATAGATCTGAATGCATCACATTTAAGAATAAACATTGGTCCCTGAGATTTTTGTCAATTGTATATCAATACTTATACATATGTGTTTCTTGCTGTGAGTATGTATGTAGTCCAGAAAAGTTATAGAGCCACCGATTTAAAGATTAGATCCCTCAAGATCAGAGGTTTAGATCTGAGGTTTAATTTCCCAGCTTTGAAAAGTAATCCTAAAGAGGAATGGGCTGAGAAAGGTTCTGAGTAAGGCCAGCGTGGAGTAGGCATCACTTAATCAAAAGCCTCCAGTCTGTGAGAGAGAATCACCAGAAGCAGCAACAGAGCCCAGAATGTGGCCTGGGCCAAGAAGCGGATGCACCAGCAAGGCCCCATGGGCTGTGTGACCACCTCCAGGAAAAGGCAACAGTCCCTGAACACTCTGCTCTCTCGGTCTCTCCTCGCAGCACTTTACTAGGGAACCAGTAACAAAGGAGAATTTTCATTTTTGATAGACTTTATCTATCGAAGCGTCCCTGGTCCTTGCTGCCATTCCATAACTCATAGCCCCAACAACAAAACATAAGCTGGAAAGCCATGATGTTGACCTTTCAATGACATTACCTCATGTTCCCCTCTGCAGTTCCATTCTCTCCAGAAGCAGCCCCTATCATTTATCTGGTGTAGTTTTCCCAGTTTATATCCCAATAATCTTATGATGTTTGTGTCCCTAAGCATTGGAGAGCATTGCTCCAAGGGAGATTTTTAAATTTACATTCAATTACTATGAGCTTCATGTCCTTCTACAATTCTTCACTCATTGACTTTTAGAGGTACCCATATTTATATACGCTCATTTATGTAATGTGCTGTATATAGTATTCCATCACATGGCTCTTCCATAAACTGTTCCCAATATGCTGTCATTATAAGCAACACTGCTATGAGCATTGTTGGACATGTCTCTTTGAGTTCATATGGAAGTTTGTTCAAGGTGTAGTTGGAAGTGTATCTGCTGAGTTATCAAATACACATATTTTCAACTTAACTAGTTATTGCCAACCTCACATCCCAGGATAACTAGTATCAACAGTTCAATATATGTGCTTGAGACTTTATACAAATGTGCATACGTATGTGCACACGCACATGTACAAATGACTTTGCAGTATATAAATACAGATAAGTCCATCTCATGCTTTAGGATGGGTTGCCAAGGACTGTTTGCTGCATTAATTTGACCAGTGCTCAACTGATGGACATTAGTGTTTTTCTCTCTTTACAGCATTCCAAGGAACTTAATGTGTAAATACACTAACACACTAGTTCTAGTAAACGTGCAGAACAGACTGGGACTGCAGGATCCACCTCTCATTTTACAAAGGAGAAAAGACTGAGTCCCAGAGAGCTGGCGTGAAGAGCCGGGCCACAGATCCCAAGCAAGTGAGGAACCAAGGGCAGGGGGCTGGGTTTCCTACAGTCTGATCTCCAGTTCTCTAGGGGACACTTGCTTTGCTTAAATGAATAAAACATTCAATACACAGCCTTCCTTTTACACACCATCTCCATTTATACTGCAGAATTCGCAATTATATAGAGGCACTCTGGGTATCACTAAAGTCATGTAAAGTCTCACCACTTCTTCATGGAAAGGAGATCAGACAGACAAGTCCTGCCCCAGACCCTTCAGCCTCTGGCTCCTGTCCTCAGTCCAGGCAACTCATATTCAGAGGCCAAAAGCACACTTCCTGCTCCACCCTGGGGCAGAGGTGGGACTCAGACAGGCTCCCAGGACTCCCGCCTGAGATCAGGAAGGGAGACTCAATGACTACACAGTGTAGCAACGGGTACAAACTTCAAGAGGCAGAGGGAGCTCTCTGAGTCTCCAATGTCAGCAAAGCAACGAGAAGAAAAAAAGCCAGTCCCATAACTAGTTCTCTCCAGCAAACTTACCCACCTGCCTGTAATACAGGCCAGACATCTAAACCCAACCACCTTATTTCAAAAAAATCTTAGCTGAGCATGTGCTGTGTGCTCTGGTCATATGCTCACACACACATAATGGATTGGGGCAGTCTTGATGCCTGATCTTTGGCATAGATGAGTTTGACTCCTGACTCAGCCTCTCATTAGCTGTGTGACCTTAGGCAAGCTATTGACCACCTAAGCTTCAAACTCATCTAAAAAAAATTCTAGATAAAATCGGTACCTACTTATTATCAGGTCTTGTGAAAAGTAAATGAGTTACCGCATCTAGGAGCTCAGAAAAGCCCTTACCCATAATATACACTTAGTAAATATTTAAGGTATTGGCTTTGTGCCTGAAATAAAGACAAGGTCCCAGTCTTAAGGGGCCGGTAAATTTATCAGAATGTCAAATAGAAACAACAGAAGCAGGTGTGGCTACAAGTCAGAGGAAGTGGCAGGTACAGGGTCAAGCTAGAGGGCATACAAGATGCCCAAGAAGTGAGGGAGGCCCCTCACCTCAGGAGCTCTTTGAAGGGCTGAGATACAATCAGAGAACAATCCTGAACAAGGTCACACCCTTGGTTCCAGGCTTGGTCCCAAGGCTTCGGCAAACACATATTTATTTTAAGAATCATAAGAAGGTACAAAGTCTTAGACAAACCAGGTCCCCGCTGGCTCTCAGGCAGGTAAGCCTCAAGGACGTAGATGTGATGGAAATACTGAAGGCACACGGCGCATGAACAAGCCCAATCCCATGATCGTCCCCAACCCCCATCCCCAGGACTTCTCTGCAGATGCCTCACTAGTAACTGGCTTCTTGGCTCTCTCTCCCCTCTCAGGTTCTCGAGCTCTGTGCTTCTGGACGCTCCACTGCCCTGGCAGCCGCCCCTTGGGCTCTTTCTTCAACCCTTTAGACGTGAGTAGCCATCTCACACCCCTCACCCCTCACAGCCCCACAAATGCCTCATCTCTAAAATGGACAGTTATTGTGAGAGTTAAATGAAACCAGCTGTGTGAAAGCACTGATACAACTTAGCTCTGTTCTCTTCTCTGAGCATGTTGCCATCCCCAGGCAGCTGGGCTCAACAATCCGGCATCATCTTGGTTAGAATCCTCTCTCACCCCTGCCCACCACATCCCACCCAGGCCAAGGTCCCGTGCGATACCAGCCACCTATCGCTGCTCCTCCACTGTGCATATACTGCTGATACCCATTACACCAAGACAGTTCTGCTTGCACCCCTCAAAACCTAACAGTTACTTCCCAATGCTTACTGAAGGAAGACTAAACGTTTTAGGCAGGCATGCGATGCCTTCTGTGATCTAGTCCCAACCCACATAACTCCAGTCTCTACCATGGCTCTTTTCTCCAGTTCGAGTCAATCCCTTGCTGGGTGGTGCACCATGAAATCCGAATTCTAAATCCAGGTAAAGGGATTAGACACAGCTTGACAGGTTCTTATTGCACAACTTCAGAGCCTTTAATACCTTAATATGCACGTGGCTCTTCACATTCTCCCAAGCTTATCTGAACTTCTAACGCTTTTTTCATGGAGTTCAAAAACAATCTAGGACAACCGGTACGGCACTGATTCTCCATCAGGATTATAGAACGTGACAGTTAGGTGGGCCAGAGGCTGCCATGGCCCACCAGCTGCGACCGTCAGGCACGTCTATCGTTCATCACCATCACTGAGTGCAACCTCAACGGGACAGCAAAATCCTAAACTGAGAAAGGCAGCCTTTCTCAACACAGGGATGGGAAACAAATGGCTAACAGCAATACCCCAGTCAGGCTGACAAGGATATACTTCTACCTTGACTGCCAAGGCTGTCCGCTTTCCCAGTCTTCCTGTCTATCCCATCTCATAGACTTCCATTAAATTCCTTATGTGCCTAACTTAGCCAGGGGTGGTGTCTGAGGCTTCAAACCGAAGAACCTTCACTGATACACAGTTCTTTGGGTCCCTGAGCAAAGCCACCCAATCTCCCACCAGCAGTGGAGCAGCCAGACCCATCCCCCACCACAACCCTGCCACACAGTGCAAATACCTGTCCCGTCTGGAGTAGACCTCACGAAGGTGGGCAGCATTTTCACGGAAGCAGTGGGGTGGGTGGTGGCTCCAAGCCCTTTTTCCATCTCCTTGCGGAACCGCTTAGAGATCTCCAGAAGGGTCTCATCAGAAAGACGCATATGGTAGAGATACTGGTCAACCTGCAAGACGGGGAAAAGAGGAGAGACCTGGAAGTTAAATAAAGTATGGTACGCATCTATGTCAGTCCTTCAAAAGAATAAAATCCGCTATGTACAAAAAGGTTATTATTTAAGATCATTTAACCAGAATCGATTTGACAGACCTCGTCTTTTAAAAGAAACTAAAAATTTTAATTAGAAAAATAGGTCGAATTTTATTCCTGGAGAATAGTAGACTAAAGAAAAGTGCTATCCTTTTCAGGGAAGAGGGGCGTTCTTTTCAGAAAGGTTGGATTTTAATGTCTAAAGCAATACCCCTTGAACCGGAGTTTCTTACTGACCCTCAGTTCTTGTTCCTCCCCACGCCTCACCAGGCCAGTCAAGCCAACCCTGTCACCCCTTAGCCTAGGTCAAGCAGCCACCACCTCTTGCCTGGACTTACACAATTCCCAATTCCACTCCTACCTCTTCCCATCTATTCTCCACCCAAGCCAGACTCTGCTATTCCCCTGCTTAAAACTTTTCAGTGGCTTTCCATCACGACTGAACCCCTTAGAAATCCCTACAAGGCCTTGTATGGTCTGGCTTCTCCCCATCTCATTGCATGCCTCTGCAGCCTATGCATACTCCATCTTTGGTTCAGTCCCCAACTCACCCAACTCGCCCTTCTCTGCCTCGGAGCCCATTCCCACGGGCCCCACAGCTCCTTAACCCACTCTTCATCTCCCCCTGACCATCTGCCATCCGACTTCTTAGCAATCCTTCAGGCCTCCCTCCACAGAGGCTTTCTCTGATGCTCCCAATAAGACAATCAGGCCGCCCATTATTCTAAGAACTTGGACTTTCCCTTCACAACACCATCCACAATTTGTAAACATATATTTCTTAGTGTCCAAACAGAAGTACCAAGGGCAAGAAAAGCCATGTCTATTTGTTCACCCCTGAATCCCTGGAGCTTAGCACAGTGCCTGACACATAATAGAGGCTCTACATAAATAGTAATGCAGCCTCTCCTGTCCTCAGGGGTGGAGACAGCTTTCTAGATAATTTCATCGATCTTGTTTCCAATATAAATTTACATGAGCTTTTTCCAGATTTAACACCAGGAGAAGGAGAAGCATCAGAAGTCCTCAGACAGTTTTCTTTCTTGGAAGCACCCATCTGTCCTAGCCATGGATATTCTCAGTTTTCTCTAGGAAGGAAAAAATCAGATAGAAATCCATCCAAGAAGGCACACATGTTTCCACAATATCCCAGTTCTCAGCAGCAGTGTCCAGGACAGGGGAGGATGCTAGCCATGGAGGGTAGAGCTGGAGAGAATCAGGAACCTTTGGCCAGGCCCCAGCTGTGACCCCAAAGCATGAGGGTAGTGGTCCTCCCAGCCTCATCAGGAAACTGAAGGACAAGAAGCGACCCTAGTCTTCCCAGCCAAAACTCCAGGATTCCCAAGGGCAAAGCCTGGCTGATGACCACCACCACCAACCTCCTGGGGAAACAAAAGTCAGTACCCGCCCGTCTCTACCCCTCACTCTTGTCCAGCTCTGACAAAGGAGCATAAATTTTTATTAGCTTTCCCAAACAAATGTCCTCTTTAATGTTATAGCCTAATATACTTTCCTGCACTTTGTGGGTCAGGTCTTTTTGCATTTTCTTTTAACTAAACTTGCAGGGTTGGGTTTTCCAGAGGAATAGCAAAAGGTGTTTAATCCTTTAAGAAAAAGACAATCCCAGTGTCCTCCTTTGTGTCCCCTTACTCAATCTGCTCTCTTCCAGGCTTATCCTAACTCCCTATGGGGTTTGGGGCACACCCTTCCCTTTAGGACTATTTTGGCTCCAGTAGAATAATGAGATTGGCTCTCCTTGGATTGTTTCAAATATCCTGATCAGTACTAATCTTTCATCACTCCTCTACAATCCCAAAAGGTGAAAGATCAGAGTCTGGAGTAAAATGCTGAAAGCAGCTGTAAGCAAGGTGAAGGAGAGTCTGAGGAATAGGCCAGCTCCTCTCCACAACTGCCATGTGGTTACAATGCAACAAAATCTGCAGACGCAATCCTCACATGGGGTGGGAAAGGGTCAAGTAGGAGCAGAAATGGTAAAGGCCCTCTCCCTCCCCAAAGGGCAGAGGAATCAGGCATGAAATTCTGGGTTTCCAATTTGCAGGAAAGAGGGTTTCCCAGTACTCCCTGTTGTCAGCGTTTACTAAAGAGCTGCCGCAGACTAAGTCCACCTGTCTAAATCAGGAAGAATCCAACCATCCAATATGTTTTCTAATTTTAGGCTCCTGGCACCTCACTCGCCTTGAGCTCACGGTCTACCTCAGCCTCCCAGGCTGTGGGGCACCATCCCCACCCCGAGCTGGATCACCGATGTGGGTTTCCTTCAACACGAGGGAGCCAGAGTGCTCCTGAGGAGACCTGTCCTTCCTGCACTGTTGTTTGAGGGTCCCCAGGAGGTTAAAGGGTACAGCTTCGGAGAAGTCTCCTCTCCACTGCAGTGAGAGACAAATGGCTAGTGACCCTGGGGCCCAGGGCAACTTTAATCACTCCAGAGGCTGCTGTTTCAGATCCAGTGACAGCTGGGCTGGTCCAAGAATGCTGCCTCATGGCTGACACATCTTGGTGTGGATGTACAAAGTCCAGGACCACCAGATCAGAGGCCAGCACCAGGCCACATCCGGGAATAGCCCAAGACGTCCTCATGGGCAATAGTAACAGCAGCAAACCCTTACGTGGCACTGACCCTGTTCTCAAGGTTTTACACCCCACCCCTTAGCTCATTTAATTTTCACAGCAGCCCTGTGAAGGAGGTAGTGTTATAATCGCCTTTTTCAAGGAGCACGGTAATGTGCCCAAAGTCACACAAAGGCAAAGGGTCAAGTCAGGATTAGAATAGGCAGCTGGCTCACCTGTGTTTGTTCACTCTGCTAGACGAATGCCCTTCTGTTGGACAACGGTGGCATCTAGGCAGGCCTGATGGCACTGAAGGACATTTGAGGTGGCCATGCCCATTAAAAGGCCATCTTCTCTTGCAGTCATCCCCTGACGCAGACACGAAGGATAAAAAGCGGCAGGATGACCAGTCTAGCCCAGCACGTCAAAAGGAAGCAGGGGCAGCAGATGTGTCTCTCGACATTATTGTGGGTTTGACACATGATGAAGTTATAGCGCCCACTTTACTACTTTCCCAAAGAGAAGAGAGGGCTGGAGCCTCACTGCCACCCACCCCCCACTCCACAGCCGGCTCTGAGTATTGCAAAGGAAGCAGGAGGGTTCCTGCATGGGAGAGCAGAGCCTGCACCACCTTCTTAAGAGGTTTTACCTCTTGGAGTGTGCGGTCACGGTCACGTACACACAAGAGTGAAGGAGGAGTGGCCACAATCTTACAGTGGCCATTCATGGTTTGACCTTGATGTTTAAAAGCTGTGACAAGGCTTGCTGGAAATCCAGTTGATACTTTTCATCCTAAACCCTCAAAGACTCTAACAAGTAAAGAATTGGCATTTACTCAAGTCATGTTGTCCCTCACCCAAAAGATTATCATTATCTTTCAGTGTTCAACGACAGATGAAAATGATGATGATTGTTACGGTAGCTAAACGTTCACCAGACACCATCCTATGGCTTTACTGACTTGACCTCCATTGTTCTTTTGTAACAGGTCACATGGTGGTGAGGGGCAGAGCTAGAATTCACACTGAGGTGTATCTGGCTCTAAGACCAGGCCCTTGGGACCAGCACCCTCACCTGGCCTATGGGCCCTCTTAGTTTGGGCAGGTGCTCTCTGCCCTGTGGCATCTTGGGTGACCCCAGGGCCTTGATTTCCTCTCCATCACATGAGACCAAGAGAAAGGATATGGAAAAGCTGTGAAAAATGCAACAGTAGCACCTTGGCCCAAACTTTCCCTCTTGCACAGTATGATGGTATATCCACCCCAAGTTTATCAGGGATAGTCAGGAAAGGATGGTTAATCCCCTAATGTCACATTTTCCTAAACATACCGTTGGGCCTACCTAGCCTTGGCCGGCACTGCTATGGTGGGGGGAAGGGTGACCAAGGGAGGCAGAAGTCAGAAGCAAGAAGCAGCCTCCATACAAAAACGGTTTTCCTGGAATGGGAAGGAAGTGAATGCACTTTGCAGAATCCTGCCAGCTGTCACCCACAAAGCAGCCAGAGAGGAGGAACGCCAGGCCCAAAGTCAGAGAAGAAAGTCATTTAAGAGATACCAAATGTACACGGAGCAGTAGGACAACGGCTGAAAAATACTTATTCTTAGAAAGGAAAGGCCCTAAGGAGAATGAGTTCAATCTCACTGAACACGAACAGCATTTGAGTTTCCCTAGTTTGTCTTTCTCACCCCAATAAGTCATTAGGCCTAGGTTTGAATGCTTCCACACATGACAGGCTCACTACTTCTCTAAATTGGTTAGCTTCTATTGTTGGTCAGCTCTAGCTGCTACAAAGCTTTTCCTCAGTCTAAGATAAATCTACTTTCCTTTAACTTCTGTCTAGTCTCCATTCTGCCACTTGAATAAGAGTTCTTAAACCTGGCTGCACATCAGAACGACAATAGCTTTTAAAAAACATTAAGAATTCCAAGAATCCATTCCAGACTAGTCAAGCTGACACCTTTAGGGCTGTGTGTTCAAACATCTCCTCTCCTTGGGCTGGTATCTATCATGCCAATAATGTGATAATGGTGGGCTGTGTTCTGGTCAACACCTTTTAAGGTCATTTTTACCATGTTTCTGCTTGGGTCTTTGAAAGTTAGAAGTTAAGATATTAGGCTACATGTGAAATAATCCTGTGTTGATCCTGGGTGCTGGGAGTTGGAAAGACTAACCCTGTACTTCTTGGAAACTATCTATCAAAGCAGAATCATTCGGGCCAACCCTCATTTCGTAGGTAGTGATAGTAATGTGTGGGCTGTGGCATCTGAAAAGTCGGTGTTCAAATAGTGGCTCTAGCATTCGTATAGGTGTGCAACACTAGGTGAGTAACTCTCCATCTGAGCTCCAGTT